TAATTATTGCAAAATTATCATACTAACCTAAAACACTACCTGAATACCAAGTGCTTAAATGTAGAATCAACCATTTCATAAACACCTAATATATGGCAACAAAACAAATGGTAGCATAAGTTTGAATAATTTCATTAACAAAACGAAAATATGAGCAACTCTTACAGGAAAAAACACCCATGATTTGGCAAGCTAAGTCCTAACGGTGAGATTCTTTGGAAGCTCTAAGAGTTACAAATGAAATCTGAAACCCAAAAGACCACAGACGCAGAAACTCTCCTTGTTTTCCTCTGAGACTTGTCTAATATGGGATTTGGACAATCTCTGTACTCATCCAGTTGGGCAGCAGGAGGGAAGTACCTGCTGTGTAGGACAGACACATATAGGCAAGGGGAGAGTCTCCTGGTGCCTTGTTGCCTGTGAGTGAAGTAGTGTGACAGCAGGGAGGGGAGATGAACTGAGCTGAGCATGTAAGGGAAGCAGTTGGACCAGTCTGAAATAAATGGAAAGGGAAGGCAGGACAGCACCTCCCAGTGCCACCTCCTGTGGCAATGAGAGGAATGAAATCCTTAGCAGACACTTTCAGGAAAGAAATGCTCTCTCTGCAGATGCAGATCTTTTAGGGCCCTCTCTCTGAAGTGTGGTCATTAGGCAGACGCTAGAGACAATGATTCATAAGCCAAGTTCATGAGCTATACTGCAGGCAAAAAATCATATGCAGGGCACTACCTGTATTTCTTCTCCAAGACCTAAGGAATATATCATAAGACTTCTCTAATCTGATAAAATTATTTATTGGATATAGCTAATGACTGGTGGAATTCTATCCACCCAGATCTATATACTTCTCTCTTCTAAAGATCTGTGGCCAGCAAGCAGACTATTAAAAGCTATTTACATAAATTTGTTGGGGAAATTAGAAAGGAGCAAAGGTAGATGTATAAAAGAGACAGACAGGAGAGATGTGGCACCGATTCCATATAACATAAATACCTCATTGTACCTCACCAGCTTTTCTAATTATAAAAACCTCAAAAAAGGGTAACCTTCATGCAATACTTAGGCTCATCTCCTGTTGTAATATTGCCAAGATGACATTCATCAGACATGTAAATAAATTAGCAAAAAAAGCAAAAGCATAGCATTCAATTCAATATAACATCACACGTATTGTACTTTATATATCATTGGTGTAATTCTTTATTCTCTATTAAATATTACCTCAAAAGTGTATCAAATGGATATCCACGAGTGTTCATTATATTGTTAAGCAAACCCCCAAAATGTTTAATTTTGACAGTTGGATGTAATCAAATAAAAACCATCCAGATTGACTCCTCAGAGAAGAGAAAATTTGTTCTGATTAAAAAACAACAACAGTAACAAAGCAAACAAACAAACAAACCGCCATCACCACAATAACTTACTATTGTGGCAGCAACAGAATTTCAGTAAACCAAATTGTTTTACATCCCTAGTACTGTCATATTGATGCTTTCCTCATTAGTCAAAGAGATCAAAGAAATCTGATGTCTCACAAGGGGTTTGAACTACAGTGAAGAGAACTCAACTCCTGATCAGTTTTTGAACACCATCCAAATCAGATAAACAACACGTTGCTGTTCTCAATGAGACTTGTGTGAAATGGGACTGACAGTCTCAGGAAATTCAGAACAAAGTAAAAAACCTTTGCCTTGCATATGAGTTTGACTCATGCCCAGCTCTGTAGTGAATCTCACAATTGTTCCGCAGACTTTCTTGGTTTATTTTGTAATCTCAACTCTTTTCTTAGCAGCATGACCTGTAGTTCCAACCTATAACTATCAGTCTATGCAACAGCAAGCGATATGACTAGAGACCAAGCAATAAGCATAGAAACTGAAATGCCCAGTCCTTCCTGAAAAAACCTTTAAATGTCAGATACCAGTCAATACAGGACACTTTATGTTTGTTAGTTTCTACACTATAGATAAAAAGTATAGTAAAAAATTTCAGTTTTAAATTGATTGAATTCATGTCTATAAAGTAATTTAACTTTAGGAAAACCATGTTAGACTTTATAAAAACATATACATTCATAAAGATGTAAGAAATATCTGGGCTGCCGATACCTAACTACACTGACAAATTTGATAATTCTCATGTCAGAAAAGCACTTGTTAAATTAAACACTTAGGCATCCCATTCCTGAGGCTTCTTGTCTCAAAACCTTGTCAACACTAGATAGATATCCTCTGACATGATCCTAACATCACCATGGCTGCTTCAGAAAAAGGCATCTGTGATTCTCCAGTGCAGTGGGTAGATAATCCACTGCCTCCTTGGCTGCAATCTGAAGCACTGCTCTATGGTTAGTCCTTTCTGTGTATTGTAAATCTGCCACTGTGAACCTCACAATATGCAACTCTTCTCAGTGGAATTTCAGAGAAATCAGTCTCATAATTTACCGTTTTTCTTAAGACTACAGCAAACTGACAGCACACCATCTGATAGCAATCCTCAATGATAAACACCCAGGGAACAACTACAGTGTGTTTCTCTACTGCTCTCATCTTGCTGTTTACATGTTGCAGAGCTGTGACAGCTTGCATACAATTCTTGGAAGGTGCTTTTTTTGTCATCCAAAAATTCTGAGGCTGTAGCAGATCATTCCAGGTTCCCATCAGAGCTTAATCCTCCCACTCAGTGCTCACAGTACAGGCCTCCAATGGTTACTTCACATGCATACTTGTTCAGTGAATGCACATGAAAGTGGTCAGCTCCACTTTCTTCCCCTCAGATGCTCACAAGTACCCTACAGAATTGGTATTTTCCCTATTACAAACCGCTATTCAATGCAACACTTATTTTTCTAGAGAAAAAAATGGCAGCAAGATGGAAATGGAACACGTAAAGGCATAATGGTAAACTGGAACATACAGATCTTGGGTCTAAAATCTTACAGCTACTTACAGTTTCATCCTGAACATCATGTAGAAACCTCCAGAATACAGTACAAAAATCCTCCCTAATGCCATTTACCATATGAGGGTATTGGGAGAAAACTTGCTAGCAAACCCTAGTTTTGTATGGATGAATTAACAAAGCAAGCATAGGAAAACTGACAAAATAGCTAATGTCAAAATTATTGCATTTACAGAACTTCTTCTAGCATGCTTTTCTTCTGTCAGTCAGGCATTAATAACCTTTCCATAACCTTAAATTAAAAATATCACATGCAGATTGATAGTTCATTCAGATACCATATTGCCATGTAATTCATTGGGCTTCATGCTGGAAGTCTAGAAGCACGTTAGATAAACACCTATAGGAATGGTAGGAGTATTCCCAATTCTAATTCATAGCAAATCCTTTCCATGTCTGTTTTCTTGATGATTTGCTATAAACCAAATACTGGGCATATTTGTTGAACAATTACTTTTCCTATGTCTCAACTACAAATTGCATGAGACTGGTTCTATTCTCTGCATTGTGGAAAAAAATTCTACTTAGGATCAACAACAATGTTATAGTAAACCACATACGAGTATTACTAAATATAAAACATTTAAATATATCTTTTTACAGACTATTGCAATACCAATAGTAAGTGAAATCTCACAATGGCTAATGTTTGATTCTTTTCAGCTATCACACACATAAATAAGCAAGAGCATTCACACTGTGAAAAACACTACAAACATACAGAGGTAAGTTGTAAACATTCTGCAGCAGACTCCTGCTCATGTCAAGAGAAGTGCATACACATTATTCTTATCAAAACTTACTTTTAAACTGCCTTAGAGACTGCCTTGTGTCCTACAGTTGCCAAAGATAAAAACGAGATAAAAGAAAACCTTCTTCACATTCATTACTCGTGTTGGGTGGGAATAATGCACAGTGAGTTATGTATCCTACTGTGCCCAAAAAATCTTAAAGAGGATGAAGCACTCATAAGGCAGGATGCACAAGAGGATCCCATATGACGCGCCGTGTTCTCGATCTGAGATTTCCAAATTTATATGTTTTGTGTAGTACTTGGCTAAGCATTTCAGTGTCTGAACGTGAAAGTTTAGTAACTGCACTCAATTGTGTCAGAGCTACAGTACTGCATTTCACCTGAGTATGTTGTCATTTATATACCTATATATCTATCCATATATGTACATAAATGAATGTACCCACTTGCAAATAGATAGCTAACATATTTTGACTAAAATAAAAGATATACAGGAAGAAAGTTCTCAAGTTCAAATAAAATTCAGAATTTTAAAAATCATCACGCCATGCTAGTTCTAAAATATTTATTTCCATCTTGATTCTGGAAATAGGACTGAATCCATTAGTATGTGGATTGGAAAGTGAATAAACAGTTTCATTAAGGAAACGTTTCCTCCAACAATGTTTATTGGGTCAAGCCTGTACTCTGGCTGCATATGGTGTACCTTTAAATGGGGCCGTTAAACTACCAAATAAAATGTCAAAGTCTGTCAGGTCTGGAGCTTTTATAAATTGTTTAGACTGGGGATAATTTGGGTTTCGTACATCATGCCTTGCAGATCGCGCGGCACGGAGATAGGAGCGGGAAGGCGGTCCGGGAGGAGCACGCGGGGCAGGCAGCCTGGCAGCTGGGCACCTCCTGGGCCATCGCCCTCCTCTTCCTCCTGGCCTGCTGCCTGCCTCCCCTCTCGCTGGGTGGTATCCTGAGGTTACGCACATAACTAAATAACCATATTAAAAAAAAAAACCAAAACAACAAAAACAACAAAAAAACTGACTTCAAAGCCAGCGCCGCCGGAGATGCGAATGCTATGAATGACTTCACCTCGGGCTGCAGCACCTCTGCGCTGGAACTACCCACCGCTGCTCCAGCTCATGCACTGCCACACCTTCGTGGCCGCCCTCCCGGCTCCCCTCCCGCCACCCTCCCCGGAGCAGAGCGCTGGAACAACGCCTGCCTTCAGCCCCCCGCGCTCCCGGCCCGCCCGGTGCTCCCACCCACGGCGCGGCCCGGACCTCACCTTCAGCTCCCGGGAGGCCACGCGGGCCGCCAGCTCGATGACACAGCCCACCGCCATGCGTGCCGCCCCGGCCGAGTGCAGCTCGTTCCAAACGGTGTCACTGTCCACCTGAGCAAACAGCCGGCCCCGGGAGGAAGGCAGGGGAGAGGGGAGAGGGAGAGGGAGAGGGAGAGCATGAGAGAAAACAAACCCGTGAGGGAGGGCTGGCAGCGTGACAGCCCGTGTACAATAACATCAGTCTTCCGTGCTGGCCAGCTGAAAGGCCTTCTGGACATGGCTTTGCTTATGCTTTTTCTCTGCACGGGCTTCTCCAATGGAAACACATTCCTGTCATGCCTCGCTGCCATTCCCTGTTTAGATTTCTCATTACAAACAGTGTTACATCGGCCGGGCCAGGCCTGCTTGCCAGACGCTCCTCACGCCGGCTGGAGGGTTGAGGAGGACCTGCCACCACCCGCACCGAGTGTCCATCGGGAACAGCCACCGCTGGCCCCAGCAGCCGGCTCGGGCAGCCACCAGAGCTGGTCAGTGGCACAGGCCAGTGCCTCTTTCTTAAAAACGAAAACCAGCAGTAAGCACTCAGCTTTCCTACCCAGGCAGGAGTTGGTTGTGACTGAAATCTGAACGATTTAATTTTTTGGAGTAATTGTGGTAGTCAGTATTGCCATAGACAGAAAATTGAATTAAATAAAGCGAGAACCTCGCTGTATCTCCAGATCTGATGAATTAATAAGTTTTGACTGAAAGGCCTTATCTTCCATTTTGTAACAGATAAATGTGGTTATTTAAAGCAGAGAAAATTATCTTCTGCAATTTCTAGATGAGCCAGTGTAACCTATTAGACACTGCATGTATGTTACAGAAAATATTCTAAAGAAAACTTTATAAAGAAAATATAAAGATGGCTAAGCAGCACCGTTCTACAGCTTCAATCAGTATGCTAAAATTTTACTTTTGAAATCTATATTTAGGAACTATTTATTTGGAGAAACATAGCAAAACATATATGTGAAATATTGTGTATTCCTTTATGATATTATGCCAAGTAGACTTGCTGGTGTTAAATAGTTTGAAAAAGTTATCCAAAGAGACAGTCAGACTTCCTTGATGCTCCATGGGAAGTGCATTTAATTGTATCATACCGTACAAATTTATCATGAAAAGAAAATCGTTTAGGGATAGACAAAATACTGTGGCAGATGCTATTTGGATGAATTCCAAGCACACTAAGACATGTTTTCAGTTTGAACTAGAAGCTTCTGTTCCTAATTTCTTTGGGGGGAAAAAAAAAGGAAGAAGAAAAGAAATCAAGTAATTGAAAATGGATGCAACTGCTCTCAACTCTGGAGGTTCTGAGGAATTTCTCTGATTAGTCATTTGAAACAGAAAGAAGTTTGATCTTCTCTACACCTGTCAAATGTCTTCTGTGTTACTGTTACAATAATATTATATTTCAAGCTACTAAAATGATCTTAATTTCTAGTGTACTGGACCTGATTTTTCTGTCGTTTTGATCAGTTTTGCATGCATGCAGCAGAACTAATGACAATAGTTTGTTTTCGCAGTAGACCTAAGAAAGAAGACTGGATTTCACTTGCAAAGTTTAGAATAACAGTAATCTAACAGCACGCTGTGTTTTCATCTGAGAAACTCGAATGTTGTATAAACACAATTAAGCATTATCAGCCTGACACAGGATGATGTGTTATATCTGTTTTGTAGATTGGTACTTTGACATTTAATGAAATTTAGTAGTTTTCCCAAAGATGCACACTAATTAATAGGTAACTAAGAAAATTACAACAAGATATAAAAAAGAAGCCAAGTAGTAAAAAAAAATTACATGTATGTAACATTAGGCAGACCTTCAGATTGTCTCTGTCTTGCTTTAAAGCAACTGTGAATCAAATTTCATTTTTAAAACAAATAAAGAGATAAATAAGTAGAGATCATTGGTTAAATCAATTTAATCAAATAATAATAAAGTTTGAAAAATACTGTGCAGTATTTTAAACAGAGAACTATCAACAAGAGGGTTGGGAGGCAGTACTTTCTTACAATTTTTATGGCTAGCAAATTAAGGTTAACATGAAGGAGTGGCTGATGAAAATGATTCAATGGCAGCTGCTCGGTACACCAGGGCACGAGCAGGAACCTGCATCCTCAAAGGGACTATGATTCATTTCCAAGAAGTCTGATTAAGTTAAAATTGTAGCCACAGCTTGAGAGTACCCACCCTTCAAGACAGTTGTCTGCTCTGACATGTGAGTCGGCAGCCTCCCCATTCACTGAATGCTGAGTATTGGCCAGGGTACAGCATTTATCATTTTCTGCTTTCAACTGAGTGTGAGGAGACTGAACTGTGACAATAAGACCAAGTATCTTCCACTGAAAAATTTCCCTCAGACCACTTGAATGACTGCTGCCTAAACATACCTGGATTGGTAGAAAAAATGGACAATCAGGGAACAAAACAGTGTTTCCTGATAAATTTTCAAAAATTACCACCTAAATGAACACAGGAAATTCAGGCTATTTTAGGTAATCTCTTGGGTGTGGTACATGAAATGAATGGTAAAGTCTCAAAGCCGGGGTAGTCAACTGAAGCTGCATACTTCAATGCACTGTTATAAAAGAGAACTAACATAAACACATGAATTGTTGCTCTGAAAAGGCACAGTATTATAAACTTAGATGTCAAATCCTGTTTCATATTCCTGCAAAGTTAAGACTGGATTTCTGAGGAACATCTCATGAAGAACAACCTAGAAGAACTTGCATCACATAGCCAATGCTTTAACTATAATTAGAAAATGCCATCTCACTCCATTTTATATCTCTTTTAGTTCTGTGTATTGCCTTAAACGTTTCAGGTGTTTAAACAGAGATTTTCTTTTAGCATTACTCAATGTTTACTTTGTAAATTGCTGTTGAAATACAGTGGTATAAATGGCAAACCCATTAAAATTACAGCTACTAGCCTGGCCCAGTTGTCAGGCTGTATATGAAATGCAGCTATGTAAAATCCTACTTGATATGCTTTTCTTTACTCCTGTGAGATGAAATGGTTAGATTTTATACAAGTAAAGAGAATAAGATTAGACACTGTGGTTTCCTGGTTCTATTTCATGTATATATCACATATATCTGAGAGCCTATCTAGCTGCTGACTGTGCATGAATTTGTGACAGATATGATGGCTTCTGAATCACAGACTATGAAAAAGTCTTCAAATTCTTTGGAGCAGCTAGAGAATTCAGTGAAAAACCTATGTTGATTAGGATTGTTTTGCAGACAATATTACACAAATTTACAGAAAATACGGGATTTGTAACAATTCTAACACAGAATCTTAGGCCTTTTTTCTGTTTATTTAAATACGTTATTTCTATTTAAGAGTCCTTTGAAGAAATTGTCAGGGTAGGAAAATCTTCTGAATGTCTAACCAAATGAAAACATTTTTTTAAAGCATCAAAATGTCAGTGTTGAACTATAAGCATACTGCACATTTCGTTATCAAAAATGCTTTCACTGCTGCAGCTCTTCAAAGAAGGATTGTGCACGAAAGCCCCAAGAACCAGAGCATAAGTCCTATCTGAACACTGACTTTCTAACACACATATGGATTTACTTCACTCCGAGTTTCCTGAATGAGCACTGTAGGTTGCAGGCTTTTTCAAGCACATCTAGTATAGCTCAATCATTGGCATGTGTAGCAAAGCTAATACTCTGTAAAGCTACAGATGATAGAAATTAAGCTACCTGTCCCTGAAGTGGATGTGGAGGCATTAAAGAGGAAGGGAATGACTTAAGTGAAAAGAAATGTAGGTAAACTTCTCCTGACTGAATGAAACTAATGTTTCATGCCCCATGTTCAGAAATTCTCTGCTTTGCACTACAAGAAGAAATTGATATGAATGCTTCCTGCAAGAAATATCTATGTGATAACTTGACTTTCACAATGAAGACTTTAAGCATACTCAAAACAAGCTAGGAAACAAGAAGCCTAACAGCAGAGACATTTCAGCAGACAGAAAGCTTGTACTGTAACCCCTCTTCCCTGGAAAATTTCATGTTAAGGCTGACTGTAAAGTTTGGAAGTTATATTATGATATATATGGATATACTAATTATACCTTGCTTGGGTTATGGCGTGTGTATCTGAAAGTGGAGAGGAAGGATATGAGAATACATCTGAGAGAGAGATTGCTTACTTAATGATCTTTATGAAATCACTGCAGTTGATGACCCTGGAAATGTTACTTGTCCTGCTATTTACATTTATCCGGAATGTACTTTAGGGGGCAAAAAAAGTAATGTGAATAACAATGTGAATAAAATGAATAATTTTGAAGTATTTTTAAGATATATTTATAACTGCTTTTTGTTTTACCTGTCCCTTTCCCTGCTGCAAAATCTATTGACTCCTTCTCCTTTCTTTCAGTTCTATTTCTTTTGGAAACCTCTTGGAATCTCCCTAGTGATCAGTGGATCACAGTTCTGCTGACCAGAAATGCTGCTCATAGTCTGACAAACCTTTCAATTTTTCAAACCTGCATGGTTTATTCATCTATACAAGTTACTTATCTTTCTTGAGTAATTATTGTAAACTCTGAAGTTGCCTTAAATACACATCCAATGATACCTATATAAAAATGTAAGAGAGGCCCCAAGCTACTGCTTTGGGATGGATGCAAAGCGTCCTAGAACTTTCTGTCCCCACTCCTGCTCACACACACACAAACACACACAACTTGTTATTTAATGTAAATCCAGCGTTTGCAGTGGAATTCTGATTTTATGCCTAAACCAAATTAAAAATATACTGAATTGCTCATCCTGCCCTAGATTCTCTGCACAATTGTTGCCATCATTAAAATCAAAACCAGTCCTAGAGTTACTACGTGTCTCTACAAGAGAGATTCTATTTATTCTCTGAGAACAGATCAGAAATGCGATCTGTTATCTATGTGTTCATGGAAACTTTCACCTCTGATGCTTCTTCAATAGCGGTCATTGTATTCTGTGTGTCCAATATCCGTGGCAACAACCTGAAAAGTAGCAGTTCTTTACAGTAGTTTAAAAGAATTCTTTGCTCTTTCTTTAAA